ATCCCAGGCCAGTCCAGATGGAGTTACTAACCTCGGGAGAAAGAGCTCTGTGGGGACCTTTTCAGAGAGAGAGAGAGAGAGAGAGAGAGAGAGAGAGAGAGAGAGAGAGAGAAGGAGAGAGAGATCTGGGCTTCACACAGATCACTGATTGTGGAGCCCACAACTGAATCTGAACAGACTTCCCACAAACTCTGAGTTCCATTTCCCAGCCGCTCGGAGCTACTGGCAGCAGCTGTGCTGTGGCTGACAGAGGCAGCCTCCTGCCTCCATGCCTGTTCTGTCGTTGTGCGGAGAACACTACATTTAGGAGGAGATTCTGATAACCATTTTGGCAACCTGTAACACTCAGAGACAGATATTGGGATATTTAAACTTTTTTCTAGAATGCCAAAGGCCATAATAAGAAAAATTTCTGCATTTTTGCATCTCTTATGACTAGTTACATTCTGAGTGTGGAGAATAATAAAATGGAAACCTATTTTCTATCATTTCTCCATTCCTTGCCTCTACCCAGTGTGGCAGGGGTTTTGGTGGCCCCAGAACCCTGTGCTGTTACGTTTTTCTGTAAGGTGAGTGATCTAAGCTTGAGGGAGGCAGCTGAAGTTTGGAGGTGGAGTCCAGAAAAGGGACCAAGGCCCGGGGTTGGGCCAGCTCAGAGCCTGCACAAGGACTGGCCTGGAAAAGAGATGATTCTAGCCAGGGGCACAGCCAAGAAGGGACTAGAAGAGGGACTGCTGCGTGTGTGGATGTTCTCTGTGGAAAGTTCTGCACTCCCTCAGGCAAACCCCTCCCAGCAATAAAGTCAACAAAATTGCAGCACGAAGGCTGCACCTAGTGTGAAGGGCATCAAAGTAGGTGAGGGCCACAGACATAGGCCTGCATGAATGCTGGCAGGTGGACACCTTGCTTCAGTGCCTTTTGAGATTCCAATAGTGTGCCCTAGCACTCTTGAGACACTTTCCCACACTCCTTTGCAGGCTCTCTTTTTTTGGTACCAGGGATCAAACTCCAGACCTTACGCTTGTGAGGCAGGCGGTGGAACGATTGAGCTAAATCCCTGGCTGCAGGCTCTTTTTGAGGGGGCAGGGAAGGGGTGTGTTTTTGTGTCTCCAGGGTAAAGAATACTGTGCTTATCATCAGATGACCTGGCTTAAGTCATGTCACTGCCTGTAACCTCTGTTAGGTTACCCAGAAGAGGACTCCTCTGCCCTGTGGAGAGAATGACTCCTGTCCTGCCCGTATGGCTGAGGGGAATCAACTTAAGTAAGGTGTCTGAAGTGTTTTGGAATGTTAAATATTGTACACCCATATTCTCATAATTATTAATCAGTTTTTGTTTTTTGATTTTTTCCTGTTTTTATTTTTTATTAGTACATGTTTGTAGTGTATAATGGTTTTATTCATGGAGTACTATTCTGCCATAAAGAAGGATAGACTTGGGTCATCTGTAGGGAAATGGATACACCATGAGACCATGACATTGAGTGAAATAAACTTAAATATTGCATGGTTTCTCTTATATGAGAAACCCAAAATATAAATAAAGAGCAAGAACATTAGTAAGTTTTAGATGGTATTATGGGCTGAATTGTGTCCCCTGGCAAAAGATATGTGAAGTCTCATCATTCAGTATCTCATAATTGGATCTTCTTTGAAATAGGGTCATTGCAGATATGATTAGTCCTACAGGAGTAGGGTGGCCCTTTATCCACTAGGACTGAGGAACTCATATGAAGACAGGGGCCCCAGGAGAATGAGAAGACGGAAGGACAGACTGGAGCACTGTATCTATCAGCCAAGAAAGGCCAAGGAACAGACTTGCTCTCTGGAGGAACCAAATCCTGCTGACATCTCCAGAACTTTGAGAGAATCAATTTCTATGGTTTAAGCCATGCATTGTGTGGCACTGTGTTATGGCACCCTGGGAAATTAATGCAGACGGTGTGTTATTTAAGAGAAATGTAAGGATTTTTAATAGTAATACTTTATTTCTTCTATTTTGATCTTTATTTGTAAATATATTTTGAGTTTTTCATGTAAGAGAAACCATGCGATATTCAAGCTTGTGTGTCTGACTTATTTTGCTTAATATTATGTTCTCAAGTTGCATCCATAGAAGACAGATAAGTAGAAAGTAGGCAAAAGGTCAAATAATTCCCTAAATCACGTGTTCCACCGTTTCAAAAATATTTTAATATATATGCTCATTTGTTTAGATTATGTTACTAGTTTCTCAGTTCATTGAACAGAAAGTTTTGTGCTATTTTCTGTTTGATTCTTCTTTGTAAGTCTTTTTTGTCTATGTCTTCTAGTCTGAGTAACTGCTTTTGAGATTATACACAGTATTAACTATTGCTATTTTGTTATGAAATTGTGTTTTATTTTTCATAAAATTATCTAATTATAGTTTATTTTTCATAAAATTATCTAATTATTTTTCATATAATTATCTAATTATAGTGCTTATACTACTGGACTGTAGTATACTGTGTACTATATAGTGCTGTACTACTTTCAAAAACATGTCATTTCATTACTGCAACTACCCCATAGCATAAGTAAATTTTCTCTCCATTTAGGAGGGACCTAAGGCTTGGAGGGCTTCAGTAACTCAGGCAGAAAACATTTTTTAATTAATTAATTAATTAATTTTTGCTACTGGGGTTCAAACTCAGGACTTTGCACTTGCTAGGAAGGCCTGGTGCCACTGAGCTACAGCCCTGGCCCAGGAAACACTTTTTAAATGCTTTTTCTCTTTCTCCTACCCCACAGCACCTTTGTTTAGGTTAATTAGTGACTTTTCCTGGTATAGGTGCACTTTTCTAAGAGACGCAAGGTATGCTTATTCCTCTGCTTCTCTGTATGTAGCTTGCTCCCAACATCATGCAATTCTTCCTCGAGTCACCTTTCCCTGCTCAGCTCACATCTGTCCTCACCAAGGCTCTGAGGTTGGAGGGGCTCCTTCTACCAGACTGAGACTGAAGCTCTTAGCTCTGACAAGAACTGAGAGCCTCCTGGGACAAGAGAGATGGAGTGTCGTCTGGACAGCCCTGGCCTTGGTGGATCTGGGGGCCCTCAGGGTGATGCCCAGTTCCTGTGGCTATGCCACTCACAGTAGGAGAATCCAAGATGTGAGAGAATCAGAGATGGTGCTGTGGCTCATGGCAGCACCATTCAATATAGCACGACCTACCCACAGAAAGCCTTAGTGCAGCATTTTGTCTTCCTTTCTTCCATATTGTAGTGGGAAATATCTGTCTCCACCAGGTAGTAACAAAAGCAATGCATTATGACATAATAACATGTCTGCTGTGGTCCTAAGAAAAACATTGAAACTGAATACTTTCACACCCTGAATGCCACATTCTACTCACAAGGAGAAATTATTAATTATTTATTATTTTGTCAATTTGACTTACTGAAAGTTTCATGAGTTCAAATTTTAAATACTGTTCTTTGGCTGTCAGCCAGATCCTCATCTTCCAAAAAGCCAGACCCTCATCTTCCAAAAATGTACTCCTGGGAGAATTTCTGAGAATGGCTACAGCCCACCCTGGACAACTGCTTAGTACAAAACAATTTCATTTCCTGCCCTCCTTTTTATTTAGAAAATTTAGAAGTTTCCCCAGGGACTGGAGAAATTCAGCACTTACTCCACCCATCAACTTTCAAATCAAATCCTAGGTACTATCATAGTCCAACTTTCTATTTTCCATCTCTTTACCCAGCCATCCTTGCTCCATTTCCATTCCTACCTTAGAAACTTTGCTCTTCTCCAAGATGTCTATCTGCCCAAAACCCTCCCATCTTATCTTGGCTCAAATGCCAGCTTCCAGAGGACCAGGCTACCTAGCAATGTGTGTGTCTTCCTCTTGCCAGGATGGAAGCTCAGCGAGGCAAGGATCTTTGTCCTATTTATTTGTTCACAGGTAACTCACCAGGTGTCTAGCACAATACCTGGTGTTTAGTAAGGAGATTTAATGCAAATAAGCATTTAAGTGAATAAATAATAATAACCAGATTTTGAATATTAGGGATGAAAAGAACCTTCGAAAATATTTGATTCCGTGTGAGAAATTTTTTTTCCCAAGAGAGTCAATTAAAGAAAAATACAAAGAGATTTATGAGATGAATTTTTTACATTCAAAATTAAATCCCAGAAGAGAATAAAGTTCTTAAATTTTAACCACCTCCTTAATTATATAGAAGAATGATGATGAGAAATTTCAGCGAGAGTTGAGAAGTAGCAAGTACTCATCACTGATCACTTAGAACTCCCACTGCATTTTATGGAGGAGGAAGAGATTGCCCAGAGAGATTTTTTTCCTCCTCAAAGTTGAGTAGCTGATTGCAGGCAGATTCAAGAATAGACCTGAGGTGTCCTCATTTCCATTGAAACTTCTTCCACCAGCAGGAGAAAAAACAAAAACAAAAAACCCCAAAAGCTCCAAGAAACCAGGCTTTGCTGTTTTCCTGCTCAATTAAGCTTAAGTAGGCATTGGATGCATTATCATAAAATCAGTGGTATCTGCTCATTGTAATTGATGAACAAATGTACAAGTTAGAAAGATCTACTTCATTTAACTTCCTGCCTGGATGAGCTCCAGATTGGCATTGTAAATGGTAGGAACAGAATTTTTCCATGATTGATTTTATATATATACTTTTCCTAGTTTTTATCATGAAATGTTAATAAATGTATTTGGTTTATTTTGAAAGTCAAGGTAAACTATAATTTCTCTCATCATATGTCACTTACTGCCTGTGTTACTTTATACAAGAATGTACATGTATGTATGAAAGTCATTTAAAGAGAGTAAAATTTATTTGCTTTGAGAGTCAGAAAGGAATCAGATGGAGACTTTCATTTTTCTGAGATGGTTTAGGGCCTTCTGAAAGCAGAGAACTAGTGAAGATAAATTCAGAGATCTCATTCAGGTAGTCTCTGACCCAATCCTTGAGTGCAGTAAGTAGTTAAAAGTAGTAATTTATGGACTTACTTGTCAACATATTCAACTAGATCTGTAGAGTTCTTGGTTGACATTTTGGCTGGAGATAATCTTACCTAAAACAAAGGTCACAGATTTAAAATATATATATCATCTGCTTCTTTATAGGCTACTCCTATCCTTTTTATCCTTAAATAAATGTTTTGACTTGAAACAAAATGTATATGATACATAGATCACCAGCCCATTTAATCTTGTACATACTCCATTTGTATTGGTAGTGACTAAAACCAAAATGAAGTTCTGGGAAGACACTAGAGTGTTGCACTTCATAGCTTTAATATCACAAAGAACTTTTTGGAAAAGTAAAAACCAGATTTTTCCTGGATAATTCCTAAAGATAGATTATTCCTGGATAATTCCTAAAGGAAATATCCAGTGATTATTGACTGAATTACAAAAGAAGTCCTAATAGAGTGAATTATTCCTGACATGCTAATTTCTTAGTGGAATCAGCTAATTTTCAATAAACAAATCTAAAAGCAGAAAACTAATCTATCTTTAGTTTTTATTTTCAAAACACTTGGATGTCAGATTATTATAGTCAAAGAGAAATCCATAAAAGCACAGGTATATACATAATTTATTAGTATTAAACATAGTTGGTCATATGAACAGTTAGTTGACAACCTCCAATCCAATGAAATACTTCTAGAATGTTCTATTTTTTGCCAGGTTTAAAGTTTAACAAAATTTCTGTGACAAAAGAGAAAAGCAAATATATTCACTTTTGCATATGCTGAAAAGTGCCTAAAAATCCAATGTTTTTTTATTTTTTAAAATTTAAAAATAGAACATAGATTTATCCTAATTTTAAGAGACTACCCCTGAACTAATTCAGTAGGGACAGTGTGAGTGATATTTCATCTCAGTTTAAAAAAACATAAAATATATTCCTAGTGTATTTTTTATTTGTTAAGGTATGCTATTATGATGGGCAGAATACGTTAAGAGCCCCCATAGAGAAATCAGTCCTTTTGCAAATGTCAGTAGAATTATCATTTTTTTGTTTTTTGTTTTTGTTTTTGCTTTTCTGAGACAGGGCCTCGCTATGTAGTTCAGGCTGGCTTTGAACTCACTATGTCGCCCAGACTGGCCTCAGACTCACAGCAATCCTGCTGCCTCAGCCTTCTGAGTGCTGGGATTATAGGCATGTACCACCATGCCCACCTGAATTACCATTTCTTACTTTAAATCCAAGCAAATTAGTTGGAGTCCTTCCTCTTCAAAAACAAACAAACACCTTAAGTAGGTAAGTCCACTATCAAGAAAGCACATAAAGGCCACCTGACAGTAATCATGCAACCTACTCTGGTTGACCCAGCAACCAGAGTAGGTTTGAAGCTGCTCAGGATGCAGTCAGTGAACTGCAGTGATTGTGCTTTGGTCCCCTCCCCAGTAGCAAATAGGACCTGCAAGAGGTTGGATGGCCCCCAACCCAACCTTCCCGTAGAGAATGGGTCACTCAGGTGTCCACACTCTGGGGACCATCTTTAATCCTTAGAAGAACTGACTGTTCTATTCTGGCACTGGCTTTCTCATGCCTATTTCCTACTAGAACAGTGTTGGGCTCTGAGATCCTCACCTATTTCATTCTAATTCTATACTCCCCATCTCTTCCCTGTGACCTCCAGGCCAGTGAGAGTCTGGTCTTGGTAATTTCCTTGGTAACATTGGTTTTTGCCTTATATATTTGGCACCCAATAGCCCTCTATATTTTGGGATGAAATAGTGTGATGGATCGTGTCCAAGAGCAATGAATCACTAGGTGATTCTCCTGGTGTTACATATACATATATTTTTCTAATTTTATTAATGTGTATTTAGAAGTCTTATTAGGAGGATTACAAATATCATCATCTTAAAAATACACCCAATACCCACACTTTTAAAGTGACAAATGTTAAACGTGATGATGGAAAGACTTTATTTCCATTTTTTCCATTTCTCAGCATTTTTCCTTTCCCTTCTTTCCTTTCCCCTGCCCCTCCCACTACCCCTACCTCTTTGGACCTTTTCTTCCTATTTTACATTATCGATTATTCATTCTAATCATTGGTACATTTTAGATATACAATATAATGACATTTATCATTGGAAATTTGCACCTTTACATAGTCTCTCTTGGTTCTTATTTTTCACCCTTGCCCAGCTCTCCCTTCAACCCCTCCATTCCTCCCTATTTACAAAGATTTTCTTCCTATTTTTCCATTTTCTCATATTAATCCCATTCCCTTCTATCCTTTCCCCTAGCCCTCCCACTTTGTAAATAGGGAAGGGTGGAGGGGATGATGGGAGGGCTAGGAATGGGGAAAAAATAAGAACCAAGATGTATTATGTAAAGGTACAATTCCCAATGAGAAATGTAATTGTGTTGTATACCTAAAATGTACCAATAAAAGAATTTAACAACAACAAAAAAGAAGCACTGCCCCCCTCAAAAAAAAAACATGATGATGGAGAAAAATTTGGAAAAGTATAGAGAATTAAAAGATTACAGGAAAAAATATTCATAATTCTACTACCTTGAGCAAAGTCATTACCAATGTAGTGCGATTAGTTTTTCCTTTTAAATTCATTTTTATGTGTCTAGGGCAGTATTTAAATTTTAAAATATTTGCTAGCTGAATATAAAAGTTAGTGCCTTTTCTTCCCACTCTTGCAGGATACGATGTGATTATATGTAAAAATTGTTTCTCAGTAAAACTTCTTGGTGGTTATTGTGGGATTTTACACATATCAGTTTTCATCCTTCCATAATAATACTTTAATTTTTAGACTGTTTAATACTTTATGGTCCTGGGGATTAGACTTGGGGTCTCACACATGGTAGGCAAGCACTCTACCCCTGAGCCACTCCCCCAGCCCCATAATAAGATTTTAAAATGCTATACTCTTATGGCTTTATACTATAAAATCCTTTCTTGAATACAATAAGATTTCATTCTTCCAAGACCCCTAGAAGATTGGTGTCATTATTTTTACATTACGGATGACATTAGTTACTTTGAGTAACTGAAATTCTTATTACTAAAATAATTGAAGATGATTATTCTTATCAGTGAAGAACTTGAGGATCAGAGAAGTAGTGGGACTTGTTCAAGTTCAGGAAAAGGAAATAGTCATTTATGGCTATTGATTGAGCCCTTCCTACCTGCTAAGCTCTTAATGTGAGTGGCTCACTCCAACCCCACAGCAACTTGTGTGATAGGGCTAATTAACCCATTTTGGAAAAGAAAAAAACAGGTTAAGCAATCGCCTGAAGTCCCACAGATAGTGCCAGGTACACTCAACAGCACCTGGATCAGTGCTTGGTATCCTGCTAGCTTTCTGGTGGTCTTTCCATAGACCAAAACCATTGGTCAGGTGTGATGAGACTTACAAAGATTAAAAACACCATTTGCTTGAACATTCTTTTTAATTAATGGAAAAAACATGACAAGTACTAATAAAGCCAACATTCTATTAGATTATAGTTTTTCTGGTTAAAGTCTACACCTTGAGTTTATCATGGTTCCTTTTAAATTTTTGTAAAAAAAAAAATCACTCTTGAGTTAAAACATTTAGTCCCATAAATTAAAATCAGTCCAATTAATGTATTTACAAACTGAGATCCTTTATCCTTTCAGTCTGTGCTGTCATGGGTTGCTTTGTCAGGGCAGAATAAACAGGAAACATGGGAAGACTGAAAAGAAAAATCATTCATCCAGGACTCTTTAAAGCTTTCTAAGAAAAGCTGAGCAAAATACTGTATTCTACTTTTCATATGAATATCTAAAAGTACTTGCTTTCTTTTCTTGGTCACCGTCTGTGCCAGGAAGGGGCCATTGGGTTCATCGAGCCGTTCGTCAGTAGTCGGAGAGGCACTTTTGTTTACATCTGTATCTAGGCAACTAGAATGCAGAATCAGATCAGGAACTATGGTAAATGAATTTTTGCTTTGGTGGCATTTCCGTTCCTATTGAGGGTAGTTTCTGTACACATGGCAAAGCTTAAAGGATGCTTCTGATTTGCTTTACACCAGGATTCTCCCTTGTGGCCACATTACACCTGTGGTCAGCTAGCAGAGCATATCCTCACAGGTACCTCATGAGACAGTTAGGAACTTTGTCGAGATCAAAGACTTCTAACATGAAATCCTACCATAGTGTGTCCAAGCCACCTGAGGGTTTTCTCTGGGATTTATTAATTTGTTTATATGTACAGTAGTAAGAAATACAAGTAGGGCTGGGGATTTAGCTCAGTGGTCCCACTGCCTGCCTTGGAAGTGCAAGGTTCTGAGTTTGATCCCTGATACCAAAAAAAAAAAAAGAAAAGAAAAGAAAAGAGAAATACAGGTAAGGTAGTAAAGTATGAGAAATATAAATTTGCTACTAAAGAGAAATAAATACCTGAACACCATGAAATAATGAAATAAATACCTGAACTCATGAGGCTTGATTTTCCAGTTTTATTTTTTTGGTTGATTTTATTTTGATTTTTTGAAAAGGAACAGTGGTGGACTTTTTCTCTTTTTTTCTTAGAAAGCCAAAGTACTAAGGAATCCTGATTGCATCCTAACCAAAGAGCTCATCTTTCTTGGGCATCTTCCTGAGAACTCAGAGCATTGTGACTACAGGAAGCTTCTGTGATGTCAGTGGGGTCGGCCCTGTCCTTTAAGTCTTTAAATCCTTGGGATTTAGGAGCCTGGGGGTTTCCTTAAGGTTCATTGTTATACAAAAAAACAACACAAACAAACAAAAAACCAAAACCCCAAATGCTAGGGCTTTTACTTCTTTATCTCATTGACTGAGAAGTGATAATTGTTAATCTTATATCTCACACTCTTTTCCTGGTTTCATTTTTACAGCCTTGTAAGAGAACAGTTACCATCAAATTAGACAAAGAGAAAGCAAAATGTTACATTATTCCCAAGTCCTTCTTTGCATAGGCTAACTGAAGAAGTTAATTCTTCTAGCCAACAAGGGGAGCGTTATAGAAAATTTAGCAATAGTAACAGGTGACATGGGCTAGAGTTTTTAAATAAATGATTGAGTCTTGTATAGGAAATTTTTCCTGTTATTTTGCAAAAAGGAATGGACTATTCTAGTCTTAAAATTTTTTTTGAATTTTAAAATTTGCATATTTTGTTAATACTACTTGGCTCTCATTCACATGCAGAAGTGAAGTTAAGGGCTAACTTACGATCCAAGTTACGGTGCCAGATTTGCCCTACCCCAAGGACATACAATGTTCGGGATGCTGAATGACATACTTTGATATATAGGTGAAGACCACTCATGATTTTGGCTCTAATGGTACATTCTGGCAGTTTTAAGAAAAGTCCTTAAAACTTAGAAATATAGTATCCTATGGTTTAGATTCATTAAAAAAAGATTCATTTCTCCCAGCACAGAGGAGGCTTCCAGGTCGACGTGCCACAGCTCCCAATGCAAGGTAAGAGGCTTCCTGGCCAACCTACCACCGCTTCCAGCACAGAGGAGGTGAGCCATGCGGGCACCAGCAGCACACCCCCCTCCCACCCCACCCCCTGTCGAAATGAGAAGACATGTAAACAAGCCTCAGAACCAGACCTTCAGATCACCTACAGCAACCCCAAAGGGAAAGGAGATGGAACACTCTGATACTCAACCACCTGCACTCCCTGAACTAGCAACAAAAGAGGATCTGGAAAAAATGAAATCAGAAATAATTTCTCAGATAACAGCAGAGATTGTGCCCATAGTGCAAGACATGATTAATAAATCTAGAGAAGACACAGATTAAAAAAATAGTGGAGCTGAGGAACATGATGGAATCTCAACATAGGAAACAAATGGAATCCATAAAACAAATGCAAACAGATTTCCAGGAGATTAAAAACTCCATTGAAAGTCTATGCAGCAGAATGAGCCAATGTGAGGACAGAATTTCAGATATAGAAGATAAGATTGCAATTAGTGACCAGGAAAAGAAAAATTGATTTAAAGTTGTAAAGGACCACAAGAAATCAATCCAGCAGCTGCTAGACGATGCAAAGAAGAATAACATAAGACTGATTGGAGTCAACGAAGAAACAGAGTGCAAATGACATAAAAAAAACAGTTCACAGAAGTGATGGCAAAAAACTTCCCAACTAGGGGGAAAGAACCTGACATACAGATAAGTGAGGCATATAGGACTCCAGCTAGCCTTGATCAAAAAAAATCTACACATAGGCATATAATAGTTAGGATTCCAGAAATCCAACAGAAGAACAAAATTCTACAAGCAGTGAGAGAAAAGAAACAAATCACATATAAAGGAAAGCCCATCAGAATCACAGCAGACTTCTCAACACAAACCCTCAAGTGAAGAAGAGCCTGGAGTGAAGTATTTCAAGCCCTAAAGGAAAACAGCCTCCAACCCAGATTGATGTACCCTGCAAAATTATCTTTCAAAATTGATGGAGAAATAAGATACTTTCATGACAAAGAGCACCTTAGGAACTTCATGAATACCAAGCCAGCATTCCAAAATATTTTAGACAAAAAAAGATTCATTACACTTCCTAGTTGTCATTTTATCTAGCATCAGGGTGGACTGACACACCTGTATCAACCAGGAAGCTACAGGTTCTTTGAGAGTGGATTGGAAACCTGACTCCTCAACCTACTGTCTGTTTACTTCTGGCAAAATTACACTACTTTGTCAAGCCTCAGCTTTAGCCTCTGTAAAATGACCAAACAATATTGATTTAAAGAGGTGGCTGAAGGGATTAAATGTAATAGTATACTTCAAGTGCTCAGCTGAGTGCCAGGCCAGGAATGCTCTAAAAGGTAACTATTATTAGTGATTATCACAAGGTGGCAATTAGCCAAGAAAAAAATAGAAACAGGCAAGGACAGTGTGAGGGGAAAAAGCAACTAGATTTGACCTTGCCTAGCAACTTCTTTCCTTCCTTAAATTCAGCTTTTAATCCATGATATTTGGCTAGAGAAATGGGCCCTACTGAAAAAGAGTCTAACTGGTTTGTTCTCTAAATGGCTGCTCAGTTGTTTTTTTGGTACTGGGGATCGAACTTGGGATCTTGCGCTTGTGAGGCAGGCAGCAGAACCACTGAGATAAATCCCTGGCCCTGGCTGCTCAGTTTTTAATAGAACAATACACAAATCAATCAATCAATCTATCTATCTATCTATCTATCTATCTATCTATCTATCTATCTATCTATCATCTATCTACGTTGGCTTCCTACCTGCCTGAAATGAGTATGTGAAGTTTCTCCTGGAAGTCAATGATCTTCAACAATGCTTCCTAATTTAAGATTAGCATAGCTTGGAGCACAGAAAGAGAAATGTCCAACTTTGATCTTAAATGCTTAAAAATGACTCTCTTCTGATATTTTTGATATAGATATAAAGAAATACTCCTGATGTGGGGGTCAGGGAAGAGGGATGGTCAGGGTTGGAGGTCAAGACAGAACTGCATTGTAAATTGGATACTAACAATCCTGGGGGTGGCTATTTGCATAGTAACAATGTAGATTCTCATATTTGTTACTTTTTTTTCCAGGCACATGGCAGGAAATACCTCATTTTAACAAGGCACTTATATTAGAACAGTGACAGGTGGAATCAAAGGTTTTGAGGGAGGAGCACCTATTTGTAGCTCACCCAGTGAGTAGAGAGGTGATCAAAATACTCAGTGAATGTTTACATTTTTAAAAACTCATTATATTTTTTTTAATCACACCTCATAAACACACACACACAAAAGAACTGCTTTGAGAAGTGGCAAGGATGATGGGATGAATGTGCTTGAAATGAGGGGAGTATTTTGAGAGGGATTAATGGCGATATGTCCTTTACTGTAATAAAATTTAAAATTTTAAATTTTAAACATTAACCACATTTTTTGATCATACCGCATAATGAGCCAGTGGCAACCCTAGCCTTGGGTGTCTAGCAAGTGCCACATCCTCAGCTGATCCAGCCTCACCCAGCCATGGGCCAAAGCAGTTCGTAGTCATCAGAAGACTCCTGATTGCTTTTTCCTCCATCTGCTCTTCCTGACCCTGCCTGGTGTCTCTGCAGCCTCAGGCCATGATTCCTGGAAGACCTCATTTGGGCCTGGGGTCTTCTTGCTATTCTGGTTTTACTTGCTTTGGTTTTCTGGTAATGTGTTTAGCACTTAGTATTTCAGGAGGTTGTCTTCATGGTCTATCTCATGACACATATAAGGAAGGCAGTGCAGGTGTGATATTCCAATTTTATAGATAAAAAATACGAAGAAACCAGGGAGCTTAAATGACTCATAAACGTAAGTGGTGAAACTCTAACTGGTTCCTGTGTCTCCTGACTGATCCCTCCTGGAATGCATCAGGCTGTAGTCTCTGGTGTGGGTGTCTGACTTCCATCTACTGGGGTGGTCTATGTTTGCACTCAAAGGAAAGACTAAGGCTGGGATTTCAGCAAGTGAGGGTTTTTTTTCAAAGCAGTATAGGTTTCATTTTTCCTCAAATTCGAACTTTGCATCGGACAAGGGACAATACTTTAGTCCAGGCCTTGCAAACATTAGTATACAAACAATTTACCTGGAGAGCATCTTAACTCCAGGCTTGTAGGCCCCATAACCCTCAAGTTTCCAGACAAGCTCATTGTGATCTGGAGATCAAGGATCACACTGAAAAACTCAAAGGAAAGAACTTCTGAAATGGCATCCTGAAGGGGAAGACCATTTTGGTCACAGGGCAACTGTGGTGTCCCTAACATTGCTACTGTCTTTCTATAAAACTATCATCTATTTATCTTCCCATTCTCCCTGGGCTGCAGGTTCTGTGTTAACTGGAATTTTCATGTACTGGGCCAGTGCTGGAGGTGCTTTCTGCCTGCAAAACATCTTCTGCAGGTCCTAATTACCACCTGCTTGTCCCAAAGGGCAAACCACCCCCTAGGGGAGGCTTCCTACAAGTGCCCATAGCAATTTGCTCTCAGTCCTACTTCACATTTAAACCCTGCTACTCCTCCTCTTTCTAAACATCAGCGAGATTCTCTTGTTCCATTCTCTGGTTTCAGATTCTACTTCTGTCTCCTCTACTTCTGCACAAAGAGCTTCTCCCCAGACATGTAATTGTCATCAAGCTACTAAATCCCAACTACTTGGCTCTTACCTCTTGCCTTGGACTCTCCTTGCCTTTTATCTGGGGTTGGCTAATCTCAGCCAAACAAATTGACTAACCACTTTAGAAGTACAATGCTTTAGAATACAGCCACTTTGGTATGTTCTAATGAAATAAAATGCCAAAGGAAAAGTATTCTCTGGGAAAATGTTTCTCTTTGCAGATGCATGTAGGGTTTAGTCCATCACACACGTTCACATTTGCAAACAAAGTAAAAAAAACAAGCAATAACTGAAGAAATGACCAAGTCCCACATGACAGGGAACACAGGACAAAGGAAGGCGTTCTACCACTTCCAAGACAATGACCATTTACATGGCTGTTGATTATGTTGCCACCAGATATAGGAGCCATAGTCATTTGCAGGGGCAATAAGAGCCTTGCTCATTGTTAAATTGGCTTATAGGCTGTCTGTAATACTGGCAGCCGGAGTATTTAGTCTAGCTCCAGACACCTCTTTTGCTGTAGGGAAGTTTCTTGCTCTGCCAGGAAGGCTCCAAGCATACTTTTGTGGATCCAGCATTCTGTGCTGTGAAACCCTGACTCAACTCCCCTGCCAGTGTCAGCTCACCAGAAAGAAGCACTGGGGCTGGGCAGCCATCCCAACTGGCTGCTCTCAGGATCTCCAGGACTCTATTTTTGTCATGTAGTAAGACCAGTGTCCTGAAAGCATCCAGCCTGAAGCATGCACCTGTGCCTCAAGGTGACCAGAGACATCTGTTTAAGAAGCATATAAATAGATTCTGATTCTAAAAATCAATGAATGTATTTTTGGCTCTAGACATCTATACATTTAGCCAAATGGCTCTATGACAGATTTTAATATTTTATGCATTTTTCTCTCAGCAATAAGAAATGGTAATGGAAGCCATGAGAAGTTTTCCTGTGTCCTGGGAATACACCTATGTCCCACTACTAAAACACACGAGACTTCGTTCTGTGCAAAGCTTATTCCCCCAATAACCCTCTCTTTTTATGGCCATGATTTCCAATCTTGTGAAACTTTAGACATCTTGCATTTGCTGTGGCTGTCCTTGAGCATGATTTATACTGTTAGGAATCAAAGTGGAAATAAGTTTGTTCAGTACAGTTTTCCTAGAAATTTGTTATTGGCTTTTTGTAGGTATAGAAATATCTCGGACCAAACTATAAAGTAAGGGATGGGAAAAAGTCAAACATTTTTGCTGAATCCCTACTATGTGCAAGGCAGTCTGCTGTGTGTGGATGTGTTTGTATTTTTATAATTCAGTAATCTTCACAACCCAGTGAGCACACTGTCCCATTTTACAGGTGGAAGTTGAAGAATTTTCAGTCTCTTCCACCTTCCCAAGCACTTGCTGAAGTCTCTATTATCTTTCTTGTCTTTCCTTCCGCTTTCCTCTTTCTGGTACCACTTTGGCCCCACCTTGTCCAGGACTGTGTTTTCGATGCTCAAGTCCCCGGTGAATACTGTCAGTCATCTATTCCCCCTTCCACTCGTTATCTGGTCTGTCAGGGCAGATGAGCTTTCAAACATTCATTGGGCCATTTTCTGTGCACAATTTTAGGCACTGAAAATGCAGTAGTGGGCAAAGCAGGAGGAAACCGCTGGCCTCACTGACATTCTAGAAGAGAATGAGCAACAAGCACACAGAGTTTGCATGCAGAATGACGAGGGAGATCATGGAGGGAAGCCCATTGTGGAAGGAGCCAGAGGAAGAGCAGGCAAGTGGCCTGCAGCGAAGGAGGAGCAGAGAAGACTTCTCGGAAGAGGTGAAGTCTGTGCGGAATTGGCTCACAGAGCGGACACAGTGTTTCTGCTCAGGGAGGGTCATTCACAAGACTAGCAGTGGAGGGTGGCAGGAAGAGGGCTGAAATCAGAAATGAGCCTGCATAGGTGAGCAGACGCCAGGCTCCAAAGGGCCCTGTGTCTTTGTAGGCGGAGTAGAGTTTGGAGTCCACCTGCAGGTGGCGGTGGCGGCGGTCACTGGTGTTTGCAGAGCGAGCAGTCGGGTCCCGTGGCTGTTTCTCTGTGACGTCTGAGACGCAAACGTGGACAACGTACGAACTCTGATTCTACTCCACTGGGAAGGAACTTTTTGAAAGCTTAAGACAAGTCAGTAATGTAAATATGGCAAACTTCTTGTGGAAAACGCAGTCGTATTTTTTCTTGTGTCTAAATCTGTCGTTGTATAATCCAGCTAAACCATTTAAAGCTGGGACTCGGAGACCACGTTACGGGGCCGAGCCGTTTCAAGGCATTTTGTCAGAAGAAAGCCTGTTAATTTACGCAGGTGTTTTCCTTTTGTGAGATGAAAAAGTAGCCAGGTAAATTGTTTATAACAAAGGAAGAAAAATCAAATTTGGAAAATAATTTCAAGAATATCACTATTTTATATTAAATGTTATATTTAATTTTCATTTATGTGCACACATATAACATTTTGTATAAATGCATAAATGTGATATATGATAGAACCACCAGAAAGAATATCCTGAATATGTAAAAATATATACTAAACTATACAGAAAGACATATTTGCAATCATCTCCTTTGAAGTAATCACTGCACACATTTTGAAAGATTTTTCTAGCCTTTTTCTATGAACATGTATACATATATTTGTACACACAGATACTTGAGATCATATACATATTTATCATTTTATCTTCTGACTTTTCACTTAATATGCTTGTTCGAACATTTTTATTGTTATCCCATATTTTTGGAAATATAATTTTAGAGGCTATATAAAGTATATCCTATGAATAACCTAATTTTGTTTAACTGCTTTTTAATTTTTGAATTGTAACCAATTTTTTGGTAATGAAAATAATACTGGAATAATATTATGAACAAAATAGTCATATATATCTTTATGCTTTCTAGGGTAGAAATATTTGAGAGGATAGTATACACAAATTGCCTTAAAGGAAATTATCATACGGTACTTTTATAAAACAAACTGAAAATATGCAACAACAGATAGAAGAATTTTGTACCCAAATGCAATAATTACACATCAAAATATATATCTGAAGGAAATAACCTAAAGTACAGAAAAAGTTGTACATGCAAATGTGTTCTTCAGAGTGTAAAAATAACTAAAAATTGGAACTAGCCCAGTTGTCTGACACTAGGGAATGCTAAAAGTATTATTTCTGTAAGACTTAGTTGTAACAATCTTAATAATTACTTGTGATATAAAAATGTACACATTACAGTGGTAAATGGAAACTTGTCATATAAAATGTTAGTTTATATTTTTATGAGTATGCATTATTTTTATACTTTAAACAAATACTAAGTAAAAGACTGTTGTACAATTACACTTGTTTTTGCAGGTTTCTTACTAATGTCATTTTTGGAATAAAACTGCGCTCATGTTTTCATTACCTAATGAAATGTACACCAGTTCATCAGGAGTTACTTTTTATTAAGTCGTGAGAGAAACCACATTTTGGACTGCAGCTGTCTTGAAGTGTGTGTGCTGAAAGTGCCTGCTACTTCCAGAATGCTTGCACAGTTGCTACCTGAGAGAGATCCACAGGCGGTTTAGGAGCAGGACTCTGATTTGCTTCCCTACCTTCCTAATTCTCTGCATGTGTAGGAAGAGGCAGCTGGGAAACTTCGCTTCCAGTCTTCCATTGATCTGTGGAGAAGCGCGCAGGAAGCACTTTTAGGAGGAGAACGTTAGCTTCAGACTGAGAAAGCAATTTTTGCTCTGAATCTCATACTTGATGTCTATCAGTCAATAATGTTTTTGACTTT